ACCGCCAGAGGGAAGCATTGACTCATGGCAAGATCTCGCCCAGCGCTTCCTCACTCACTTTGCCGAAAGGAAGCGCGCCAAGAAGTATTTCACCCACCTCCTCTCCGTCAAACAGCAGCACGAGGAGTCCCTCCGATCATTCATCGACCGGTGGACGAGGGAGACAGAGGAGGTCGAGGGGGCCGATGAGCGCACCCTCCTCGCCTTGTACCAGGGAGCCCTCCGCAGCTCCCCGTACGCCAGGAGCCTCATCACTGACCCCCCGAGGTCGTACGCCAAGGCGCTCCAACGCGGAGGCTTGTATGCCGACGCCGACGAGCTCCACAGTCACAAGAGAGAGGGGGGCCATCCCCCCAAGAAGACAAATCCTTCGCCGGCCTCGGGTCCGTCCCCGGCCGGCCAGGGTGCCCAGGGCTGCCACGGCTCTGGTGGACAGAGTAAGAAAGACCGCCACTGGCGGCCGAGGCTGGAACGGCCGGGGGTAGCCCTCACCCACCCGGTCGGCACCATCCTCGATTATGCCGAGAAGCATGGCCTCATCGAGCAGGCTCCTCGGCCGGCCGAGGAGATCCTGGCCATCCAGCAAGGCGGCACGTACTTCCGGTTCCACAAGAACTCGTCGCACAACACCGACGATTGCATCACATTGAAGAAGGCCATCGAGCGCCTTATTCGCCAGGGGGAACTCTCCCAGTTTGTCAAAGGTGGCCCACGGAAAAACACTTGGGTAAACACCGGCAAACGTGGGGGCGAACCCTCTGCGAAGAAGCGCGAGATTGGTAGGCTCAGCGACAACGAGGACTTCGAGGAGCCTCCGCCGAAGAAGAATCACATCCACCTCATCGTAGGCGGGAACACTGGGGGGGACTCCGCCACTCAGAGAAAGAAATGGGCCCAATCCCTTTACATTGGAGAGGTGTCCCACGTTCCCCCAGCCGAAGAAGCAGCGAACGGAGGCGATCACCTTCACCGACAAGGATCTGCCTCCGGGTACGGAGCCACACCGGGACGCCCTCGTCATCCGATGTGAGATCGGTGACTCCATCATCCACCGTACTTACATCGATACGGGGAGCTCCGTCAACGTGATGTACCTAGACACCTTCAAGCAGCTGAAGCTGGACAGAGCTCTGCTGAAGCCGATCAAGACCCCGTTATCCGGCTTCACCGGGGACTCTATCGACGCCGAGGGCACGATAGTCCTCCCCGTGGAAGTCGGTGACGGCCCCCACCATGCCAAAATTGACATGGAGTTCATGGTGGTCAACCTCCAGTGCGCCCACAACCTGATCTTGGGCCGGCCAGCGCTGGAGGACTTGGAGGCCATCATCTCCATGAAGCACCTATGCTTGAAGTTCCACACCAATGACGGCATCGGCTACGCCAGAGGAAACCAGAGGATAGCCAGAGCTTGCTACCTCAAGCTGACGAGGCCGGCCGAAAGGGAAGGACAGCGGATAGACACCATCACGGCCGCCGTCGCCATGGACGAGGAGAGGCCACATGCGGAGCCGGCCGAGGAGGTCGAGGAAATCCCTCTGGATACCTCCCGGCCGGAGCGGGTTCTTAGGGTCGGAAAGCAACTCCCCCAGGACCAGCGAGACGCCATCCTTCTCATCCTACGGTCATACGCCGTTGTCTTCGCGTGGGGCCCGGACGATATGCCCGGCATCAGCCGCCAGGTGATCACTCACCGGCTGACCGTCGATCCGGCCTCCGCGCCCGTCAAACAGAAGCGGCGCTACTTGTCCGCTGACAGGCGGGACTTCGTCAAAGGGGAGGTCGCCATGCTCCTATCGATCAAACATATCAAAGAGGTGAAGTACCCAACATGGTTGGCCACCGTCGTCCTCGCACAGAAACCGCCGACGTTCAGAATGTGTGTTGACTACACTGACCTGAACAAGGCGTGCCCCATGGACCCGTTCCCTCTCCCCAACATTGATCAGTTGGTGGACGAGACGGCGGGGTGCGAGTTGATGCCGTTCCTCGACGCTTTCAGAGGGTACCACCGGATCTCCATGCACGAAGATGACGCCGAGAAGACGGCATTCATGACCCCAGAGGGAATATTTTGCTACCTTGTCATGGCCTTCGGACTCAAAAACTCCGGCGCCACCTATACTAGGATGGTGGCCAAAATCTTCAGAGCGGTCCTTGGTCGGACGATGGAGGCGTACGTCGACGACATGATCGTCAAGCGCAAGCAGGCCACCTCCCACGCAATATGAGCCTGACACCAACGAAGAGAACATGAAGATTGACCTACACCTGGTTGATGAGAGGCGAGAGTAAGCTTACGTTCGAGCAGAGAACTACCGGCGTCAAGTGAAATCATACTATGACGCCAAGGTACGTTCCCGGGAATTTCAGGTGGGGGACTACGTCCTCCGCCGAAGGGAAGCAAGCCAGCCGACAGAGGGCGGCAAGCTAGCATTGAAGTACGAAGGGCCCTACATCGTCAGTGCCGTGGTCAAACCCGGCACCTACAAGCTTAGACGCCCGAATGGGTCCAATGTACCACGAACATGGAATGTACACCATCTGGTGAAGTTTTATCAGTAATCCGAAGGAGGTGCAGACGGCGAAGCCCTCACCCCTTAACGGGTTACTGATTGAACACCACCCTCGGCCTCGAGCCACTTATGAATAAAATCACGTTCTGATTTTCTCTGGAATTCAAAGTAAAACATTAGCAGGTGCCCTCGTCGGCCACCTTAGAGCGAAAGGTCCAGGTCTGGCCGACATGGCCCCTCGCATTTGCAGCCTACGAGCGACAAGCTCAGGCACTCCATGGTATTTTGTATCAGCGAAGGGCTCAGGCCTAGCTGAGAGAGCACATCGTCCTGGCCCCGAAAACCTAGAAGTGAAACACTCAGGTATGGCCGACGATGTCCCCAGGACGAAGGGCCCGCAAACGGCCCACGTCTTGAAACGGGAAGCTCACCGCGTCGCCCACGCGCCAGAACGCAGGACGACAGGCCTGAAATCATGGCCGAGGTGACAAAATCCCAAAACTCAGGGATGGGCAACGACAGCCATTGGAAACCGACCAAAAGTCTAGCCCGCGTCATAAATAGGCGACGGGACCCGCCCTGAGATCACGGACGTTATAAACGAAGTCCGAACCGGCCGAAGGACGAGCACACCCTTCGGCCGAAGCCTGAAAGAAGGATACCCCCGAAACGAAAAAAAAAAAACCAAAACAAAAAATATATAAGGGAAAAAGAGGGAAGCCGACGGCCGTGCACACTTGCCGGCCTCGAGCAATGAAAAAATAAAATCCCCACAATTCAGGCCCATTTTGGCCAGGTACATATCAGTTGAACACAAGTATAGTACCACAAACAGGTAACATGGATGACGCGTCCACACACTACAAGGGACCAATCAAGGCCGATACACACGCCAATAAAACCTTAACCACATCGGTTGGGTGACACGCGAGAGGTGACCTTCATCGGCCACAGTCCTTTGAGGCACCAACGCTTGGTATGAAACCAAGCATCGCAATCCTGAGGATGACCAGGACGAAGCGGGCACTCATCACACCCGCGAAAGGAACAAGCAATCAAGAAACAACCTCTACTTGCCACAGCACCTCGGATGGCCGACGCAGGCACTGGAACCATAGCTAGCCGACGAAGACAGGACCATCTCCCTGGACAAGCTATTCCTTATCCAGCACCCTCATCGGCCACAAGCCAGACCTTGGCCGGCAGTGGCACCGCGAAGAAGTAAATGCCTAACATTTATACTTAGGAAATTATCTAAGTACTCAAACGAAGGAATTCTAGCCGAAGAGGGTACCAGTATATTACAAAGCCGTTAGCTACCTACACCTCCACATGTGTACTTGTGAAAAATTCAGAGTCCACGAGACTATGGTGAGGGTGCCCTTATCGGCCAGAACACAGGGATACAAGCCGACAACGGCCCTGGCCAAAACACCTGGGAGGAATCCAAGGCAAGGACGATAAGGACGCCAACGCTTGGACGGAACGGACACTACGGTCAAGGCTAAAAAGGGAAGCACCTAAAAGGAATCAAAAACACTTAGGAAATTTTTTGAAAAAATCCCAAGTGTTATCATAGCAAAGGAACACCAGTCAAGCCGACAAGGCCATCAGGCCGAAAGGAAAGCACCTAAATGGATCCCGAAACACTTGGAAAATTTTTGAAGAAATTCCTAAGTATTATGAAACTACGACCAAGCCGATCAAGCCACTAGGCCGTAAAGACAGCAGCTACACGGACCCAAAAACACTTGGGAAATTTTTGAAAAAACAATCCTAAGTGTTATGATAGTAAAGCAAAGATGAATAGGCCGACCAGACTCCCGGACGGGAAGGCCAACCTCACGGACGTAGCGGACACTCGCGGGTGACCCAAGTTATGACTTGATACTTAGACAATTTACAGAATTGAAATGACAAAGCAAACAAGCACACAGGGGATTCAAGGCCGAAAAGGACAACAAAAATTTCTTCAATTGATAAACTTCATTACAATTGGGGGGCACTACGGCCGTTACATCACTGGGCAAAAAATTGAAAAGCTAATTACAAATAAGTAGCCTATCAAGCTTCGGGGGCACCTCCGTCTGCGGCTGCCTCATCGGCCTCATCAGCTCCCTCTTCGTCCTCAGCTTCTTGACCGGCAGCGGCGCTGGTAGCATCATCTAAGAAATCAAATTCAGTGTAGTCCGGCTCGCCGAGGCCGGAGCTTTCTATGGGGGACTCCCGCTCCAACAGCGGAAGCTTGGCCTGCTCTTCGGGATCCTTCATCAGCTTTGGCAGCTTCAGGTTCCGCCTAGCCCATCCAGACGTGTAATTCATGGCCTTCAACGCCCGGGATAGCCGCCGACACAGGAGCCTTTGCATCCGCTCCTGGCCCAGGTTGTAGTAAACGGACATCTCCCGGCTGAAATACTCCCGGCCGGCAGGGGAGTTCATCCCCCAATTCTCCAGCCTGGCGGCCACCACTTCGTAGCACCAGGGGAGCCTCTCATCGGCCTTCCACCCCTCGGCCAAGAACTTCTCGACGGCCTCATCGGCAGCCTTCACGACGGCGGCCTCGGCCTCAGCCTTCGCCTTGGCGGCCTCCTCGCTCCTGCGCTTCTCGGCCTCAAGCGCCCTGTGGGACTCCGCGAGCTCCCTCTTGCTCTCTTCGAGCTTGACCAGGGCATCGTCCCTGGCCGCGACGGCTTCATCAGCTTTGGCCTGCAGCGCCTTGGCATCCTCCCGGAGCCGGTCAAGGCAAGCTACCGCCTCGTCGGCCGAGGCAGCCTTCTGCTCCAGCGCTTGCAGGCGAGCTATCTCCCAGTACTGCCTCTTATGGCTTTCCATAAGCATGAAGGCACTCTGCAGAAGGAAAACAAAGGTCAGGCAAAAAAAAAAACTCTACATTGACGAAGAGAGACAAAAATATAAGGACAGTCACTTACTTGGACGAGGAGGTCCATGCCGCCCTCATAAATCTTCGGGTCCTCGAGCTTCTTCAAATGAGCCCGATCTTTGGCCGGCATGGCCTTGGCCAGGACGACGTGGCCGGGGACGAGCTCATTAAACACGCCCCCGCTGACGGGGTACTCTATCACCTTCTGATAGGTGGCATCGGCAACCTCCTTGCCGGCCCTCTGCGTCCGTGGTTCCGGGACGAGAGGAAGCGCTGGGGCAGCATCGTCAGCAACAGTAAGGTCCACGACGGGACCACCATCGCCCATGCTGGGGACAGTAAGAGGGAAACTCGGTGCCACTCTCACCAATGGACACAAACACGAACTTGCTCTTCCACCCATGAATGGACGTAGGAAAATCCGTGAAGCTCCTCTTCTTCGGCAGCTGCTGAAGAGTAGCGTAGGCCGCACAGTTCTTGTGACTTCCTCGGCCTATCTGGTACAAATTCATGAATAGTGCCGTCGTCGGCCGGTAGCCCAACTCCTCACACCGGAGCAGAAACCCCACCATCAAAGAGTAACTGTTCGGCGTCAGCAAGGCCGGAGGAAGCCCTACCATGTCCAGGTACTCAGTAATGAAAGGGTGAAGGGGGAACCTCAACCCCTTGGCAAAACTCATCGGGTATACTCCAAAGTACCCCGGTGGTGGAAGAAGAACATGGTCCGTCGGCTTGGGTGCCCTAACCCGCCCGAACGGCCCCACGTACATCTGGGCAACAAGGTAATCGGCCGCACTGCTCTCCGGCTTGATCAAGTAGATGTTGGTGAGATCTAGGTAGGAGACGCCGGGCCCACTCTTCGGCCTCCTCACTCTCTTCGGCTTGGCGGCTCCCTTAACGGCGGACACCGGCCTCGGGCACGGAATGACAGCAGAAGTGGACGCTCCATCCACCACTCGGGACGCACCTACGTCCTCACCCTTTGAAGAGGAGGCGGACTCCTCGTCCTCGCCTTCCTCGTCCATCAGCTCCACGGATTTGTATGGACTTAAACGCTCTATCTCCTCCTCAAACTCCTCGAGCACCTCGTAGTCAAGCGACCTCGTGGAGGGCTGGTCGTCGTAGGGGTAGTAGTCGTCGTTCAAGCTCTTCATTACTACTACTACGGGCTTAAGGAGAACTTACGATCTAAAGGTGTTTAAACGCCTAACACTAGATCAACTACTTACGGAGCAAAATATGAAAAGTGAGGAAGATCGTGATGAAAACTAACCTCAAACAACGAAGAACACGAAGAACAGGCTTGGGAGTTTATCTCTCTAGAAAATCGGCCAGCACTTCGACAAATTCAGAATGCAAATGTGATTCTTCGTCGGAGGGGAAGGGGTATTTATAGACCCCCCCACCAACGGTCACTACACGTGGCACTCCCCCAATGGCCACACCAACGGCCACCACTGGGGGGCCACCACGTCACCAACGGGCCAGGACCAACCCATATCAACGGCCCACCGGCAAATCAGACCTTACGGCCTACACACGCTCAAGCGGCTTTACAACTGCCAGCAAGCGCCCACAACGTCCCACTTGCTCACCAAGATCACAAATGCCAAACAATAAGCGGATGGCAACGGCCAGGAACGTAACGGCCACAGAACAAAGGGGACAAATAGCCAACAGCCTTCGGCTCCTCGTAATAACCCTTGATGATAACTCTCTACAAGCGATCTGCGCACAAGGGTTCTCCCACAGGGTTACCTTGGCCAGAAAATCGCCATGAGAGTTGGATCCAGGGGGACTACGGCGAGACCGCTTCGGCCAGGGACTCAAGCAACTCCTTCACCCCTCACACTCCTCGGCCTGAAGCAGTGGGGGACTGGGGGACTACACCGGCCTCAACAAAACAAAAGAGTGTGAACAAGGTAACCACAAAGCATGGCCACATCATCCACACAGCACAACGGAACTTCATCGGCCAAAGGCCCATAACGTCACTAGCAACGGCCAACAAGCCACTAGAGGCAAGGACACTCATCGTCCTCCGCCGACAATTAATCTTGACAGGCTCTTCGGCCAACCAACAACGGCCACACAAAGGAAATGAGGCCATCGTCCTCAAAGCAAGGAACAACCTCAACGGCTTCACCGGCCCAAACATAAACCTCAACCACCAACGTCCAGGAAAGGGAAAGCGCGCCTTCAACGGCCACCATTGAAAGAAGGACACTCATCGTCCCAAAACAAATTAAGGAAACAACGGCCTCCCCGCCCACAGCGAGGAACAGGTAACGGCCAAAGCACAGAACAGGATCACCGAAGAGGAAACAACGCCAAAAGTAACAAAGCACAGAAATCTACTCTCCTTCACTTCGTCTACGTCTCAGCTTAGAGAGTGGGGGACTCCTGATGGAGTATATGGGTCTGAGCCCCAAGACCCACATACCCGGAAGAACAGAAAGCACAAGACAACAGAGTGGCGCCCTCGTCGGCCAAGACGCCCCCGTCGGCCGAGAAGAAGCCAACTCGGATTGTGGTCCTGAGTCCAAGGAACCCGGGTGCCCTCGTCGGTCGTGCCCTCGTCGACCGTGCCCTCGTCGACCGCGCCCTCGTCGGCCACGAAGACCTCCCAGAATCGGATTCTATACTTGCTCATTTGTACAGCCCATTAGAGGCTTTGTATTCGGCCCAGTAGCGGTCCAGTTGTAAATGGGCCTCCCAAGCCCAAGGCTTGGGAGCCCAACCCTAATTCTCTCTATAAATACTCCCCTTGGGAGTAGTTATAGGGGTTACGAAATCATTCTATTGAAGCATATTATTGCACTTCTCTCTCTAGCTCTCACTTCTCTCTAGATATACTCTATCAATTAGCGACATCGTATTCATAATTATTGGCAAAGAACTAATATTCAACCCTATTTAAGCATTTAAGTGATTCCCGAAGCCTTAGTTGTTGTTATCATTTATCTTGAACTCAAAGTTAGTTAACAATTATCTTGTTGAACAAAAAGTGAAAAAACAAAAAATATAAAACACAAATCAAAATCCCTGCACTTTATTCAATTCTTCATTTAAACTTATCTATTCTCGGTCTTGAATTAAACAACGTTTCCTTGTGGATTCGACCCGGTATTTTACCGGAATTTATTACTATATCGGCACTTGTACACTTGCAAGTTCAAACCGATCAAGTTTTTGGCGTCGTTGCCGGGGAAACGGTCTTGTTTAATAAAGTCCTAAAAAAAACTAATAAACCCTGAATTTATTCTTCACAACTTCACTTGATCTTGGAAGGATTTATTTTTGTGTGTGTAGATATTCCTTTGTGTTTGCATGCATTTGCGAAGTCAAGGTTCTAAATTTCTTGAACCACTTGATCTTGAAATAGAAAGAACGTGCAAACACATTCGGAAGGAACAAAAATCTACAAGGATGTTGCCAACATTGAACGAAAGGAAGAGACCCGTGGTGGCCGCCACGCCATCTTGCATCACTTTGAGCGAGGAAGCAAGAGACTATGAGCTAAGGCAAAGCTACTTCAACGCTATGCCTCAGTTTCATGGTTTACTTGGGGAAAACCCATTCAACTTCATCACGGAATTCTACGGATTCATTCAAGGAATCCCTAGAAATGGCTTGGCGGAGGATCAACTTAAGCTCAAATGCTTCCCTTATACTCTTAAAGGGGCGGCAAGAGGATGGTTCCTAGAATAAGCTCCGGCAAGTTACACAACATGGGAAGGTATATACAATGCTTTCATGTCTAAATACTACACGCCCACCATGACTCAAGAGCTTAGACAACGCATTTTCAATTTCAAACAACAAAATGGTGAGCTCTTTCAAGATGCATGGCGGCGTTTCAAATCGTTGCTAAGGGAATGCCCACATCACCGCATTCCCCTAGACCTTCAAATTGATACGTTCTACAATGGTTTGAATGCATCTTGCCAAGCCATTGTGGACAACCAAGCCGAGGGCTATATTGGCAACAAGAATGAAACCGAAGCACTCCGAATCATTGAATCCATTGCTTCGAATCCTCAACTCCAAGGAGGAGATTACAAAGTGGTCGGGATTAATGAAATCTCCATCACGACGGAGATAAACAAAAGGCTTGAAGAAATGGAATCAAAGATTGAACACAAGTTCCAAACGTCTCTACAAGCCGTATTGGGAGGAGTCAAGCAAATAGCCAACGTAGAGAGCATACCAAGCCCGGAAAGTGATTTATCCCAACATCTTGAAGAGGTAAATTATATGAACTCTTACGGGAATCGGGGGAACAATAACTATTCAAATCAACAAAGGTGGAAGCCACAAGCTAGTTCCTCACAACCCCAATCCGGAACACCTAATTTTGGGCAAACCAAGGAGACCACCATGGAGGATATGATGCAATTCATGTCCAAAAGCATGGCAAGCATGAAGGCCCAAAATGAGGAGAATCACCATAGAGTGGAGGCATCCATTGGGAATCTTCACTCTCAATTCACCAAGTTGGATCTTCGCTTTGAAGATCAAAATATAAAGCTTAATCAACGCATCGACACCATTGAGCAATACACCAAGGCATCCATTCGGAATCTTGAAGTTCAAATGGGACAACTTGCCCAAAAAGTAAGTTCTAGGGAGCAAGGCAAATTTCCTACAACCACGGAGATGAACCCGAGGGAAAACGTAATGGTCATTACCACAAGGAGTGGTAAGACAACGGAGGATCCAAAGATGCCGGAAGAGGAGGAGATCCCGGAAAAACAAAACGAAGGTGAAAGTGAGGAGCATATGATGCCACCATCGAACATGGCTAATTATGTTCCTCCCATTCCATATCCTCAAAGGTTAAAGAAAAAGAATGATGGTGTTCAATATAGAAAATTTCTTGATATTTTTACTAAATTGAGCATCAACATTCCATTTGCCGAAGCTATAGCGGAAATTCCATCTTATGCCAAATTCTTGAAGGGTATTCTCTCAAATAAGAAAAAATTGGCGGAATTTGCTACCATTGCCCTCACGGAGGAGTGTAGTGCTATCCTACAAAACAAACTCCCTCCTAAATTGAAGGACCCCGGAAGCTTCACGGTACCGTGTTCTATCGGCAAAATTGGAGAGGTAAGATCCCTTTGTGATCTTGGTGCTAGTATCAACCTCATGCCCCATTCTTTATTTAAAAAGCTTGGT